CCCCAAACTCTACACCCCCAAACCCCAGCTGGGGCCCAGTCCCATTGCCGCTTAAGTCTTCTAGCTGCAGGGTGCGCTCGCCATTTCGATCTACCTGGGAATACGACGAACCTTTGTCAACATTTCCCCCAGGCTATCCAGAAACCCTATAGTCCCCCTTAAGTAGATAGAATATAGAGTTTAGGGTTTTGGGATATAGGGTTTGGGGTTTAGGGATAGAATATGGCTTTGGGTATAAGTACTATAAAAAGATCCCCATATACCCCAGATTCTATCTAGTCAAGGGGGACTATAATCCCTAAACCCTACACCCTGATCCCTAGATCCCTCTGCGACACGAAATTTGCTGAACTCCCAGATGAGCAGGGGACATATGGGTTATTCTCAAAGTTGTGAGCCCCTTCTGGTTATGGAGTATATTACGGCACCTACCTGACATCTAGGGGTGCCAAAATGGGACCCTGATTTTAGGAACGCCCTTTAAGCTGTGAGGATTTCTGAGACGAGAACTGGGATGCACAGGTATTGGGATTTCAAGCTAAGGGATGGGCATTTGGGAGAATCTGCCTTAGGGTCTAGGGTTTAAAGGTTAGGGTTTGTGGATAAGGGATAGGGGCTTCCGCATTTTGGATCGGAGAATCAGATTTTGGCATGGAATTTGGGAGGCCGCCCAACCTGTTCGCTTTGGGGGTTAAGGTTCAAGGTCCTTGAGTTTGAGTGTGTCCATCATCTTTCTTGTATCTATCTACCTATCTGGGTTGGGCAATGCCTCAATAGATAGCACAGAATCCTGACTGAACGAAGGTGGATCTTCAGGGCCCTGGCAAGTATGAGCTTGAGTGCAACCTGTTCTGCCGTTGGTCAAGAACATCTGCACGAAGATTTAGACGCCACAGGCTCCCAAAACCTCCACTCAGGAAATTCTGAACCTTGACCGTACATTCATAGGACATCTCCCACAGTAGTTCCCATCTCTTAAGCCCATCCTTCCCCAACCCTTAACCCTAAAGCCTTTACCCCAAACCCTAAACCCTCAACCCTGAACCCTCTAAGTAAGCCCTCAACCCCAAGGCTTGAGAAACCTCGAGTTTTCTGCTGAGCCAACGACAGTCCGGAGTCGGCAATGCTCACCGCTGACATAAGCGTAGGCCTGTAGAGGCTTATCCCGGCTCAAGGGTTGCGAGCTTTGGGAGTAGGGTTTGGGAAGTTTAGTGTTCAGGCATTGGGGTTTTTAGGTTTAGGCATGGAGGTATTAAAGATTTAGCTGTTGAGGTTTAGGGTTAAGCCATATAGGTTTAGAATTTCGGCGTTGAGGTTCAATGTTAAACATTGGGGAATCAAGGTTTGGGGTGAAGGGCGTAAGGCGAAAGTCTAAAATTGTTGGGATTCAGGCTTTGAGGTTTCGGGTTTCATGGTTGTTGTTCAAGGGTTTGGGGTTTTATGGTTCAGGATTTAGGGGCTAGGGTTGCATATACTACTCACAGCACGGATTAATGGAAAGGCGTTAAGATAATTAGGCACGTATGCTAGAAAAGTCTGGTTACTTACGTAGATGGTTTGGACATTTGCAACCATACCCTGCGGAACATACGCTGGATCCACCAGTGGTGCGGAGCGGAGCGGAGGGGTGTGAACTGAATGATTCAAATTCTCTGCATCATTGTTTTCGAGAACCGGTCACAGCACTTGTTTCATGCCAAAGACTTGGGTCTACGAACAATCGAGCTCCCGTTTCGGGAGTCCGTACAGTACTTCTTGCAGCATCAAGGGATGGCGCGCCCAATGTTCCATAACTTCTTCTGCGCGGTGGAACGGGCAACCACAAATGCACAGCGACATGGCCGCACAAATCACTCTACTCTTCGGGCTATACGGTCCAGAGTATAGGGTTTAGGGAGGAGGGTGATGACCCTTTGGCATTGCGGAGTAAGGATTGAAGGGTTTCGTACTTTGGTTTGGTGATTGATCGTACTTCGTCTTACCTGTTTCCAATGCTATAGTGAGCTCCAACCCTAAACCCTAAACCCTAAACCCTGGCTGTGAACCCTGAACCATGAATCCTAAACCAATCAACTCTCCGACGCCAAATTCCAAACCAGCAGCTCTGCACTCCACATCTTGAACTGAAGGGTACCCTTTATGCAAGCGTTTGCCACACTGCTTGCTATGTCGAAAAGAAGGCTTGGTAGGTCTTACGAAGGTCTTTGAATTCGTATGAAGATACTTGAGGCGTATTTCGTTTAGCGATGCTCTAGTCCCAAACTAGAGAATTGTTATTTCCTCCTTGCGGTTGTGGTATCTTATGATCATAAAACCATCGTGCTTGCTTCAACTATAAACAACGTTACACAATAGCCGAAGCTAGCTCGTGCAGTCAGCAATCCAAAGTGCAAAGGAGCTTGCAATATGGTAAATACCCACAATAAGGGTACCCCACTATAGGCCCCAAAATACTATAGTCCTTATTATGGGGACCCCCAAAATGGTACCCCTAATTTTGGGAAATCCCCATATGGGTCGTCCAAACCTTCCTAGAACCTAATCCCTTCCTTCACTACACCTCAAAAACACCTCGAAGCCCAACTCCCCAAACCCTGAACCCTCAATCCCTACACCCTATACCCCAGATTCCTCCTCCTGAAAAACCCAAAACCCTACACCCCTAAACCCCCAAACCCCTAAACCCCTAAACCCCCAAACCCCTAAATCCCTAAACCCCTAAACCCCTGAACCCGCAACTTAATCACCAGGCCTCCGGGAGATTCAGCTGGCAACAGGCCTTCCGGCCGATGCTGAACCTGAGAGACTGAGAATTCTGTGAGTGGGGTGAGGGAGGTTTGGGCTCAGGGCTCATAGGGTTTAAGGTTTAGGGTTTAGGGTTTAGGGTTTAGGGGTTAAGGTTTCAAGGTTTCAAGGTTTCAAGGTTTCAAGGTTTCAAGGGTTTAGGGTTCAGGGCTCAGGGTTTAAGGTGTGGAGTTTGGGGGCGTAGGGCTTGGGGTTTAACATCTAGGGTTTTGGGCTTAGGGCTCGGAGTTTAGGGCTTGGGGCCTGGGGATCAAGTTTAAGACTTGGGATGGTAGAGGTCAGGATTACTTGGGGGTCCTAGGGCTTGTGGTTTAGGTAACTTTTGAGTTGTGGAAGCGGGTCGCAACATGTCTCAACACAAAAAAAACACCTACTCCGAGAAATTCAGGTCTTGGAATTGCCGTCGCGCAGATATTCGATCCAAAGAGCAGGGCAGCAACTGCCAAGGTGGGCAACTGGTTTTCCTGCCTCCCCTTCCATGTACAGCCATACAGACAAAATACTCTTGACCCCACACACGAAGTCCTAAGCCAGAGCGTACCAAAAACTATACCCTATTATACTATAGTAGTTTCCATTTTCTTTTCCATTATCCCAATATAAAACCAATAATTATATACCCTATAATCCCTATATAACCCCATTATAGTAGTTTCCATTTTCTTTTCCATTATCCCCTATATAACCCCAATAATTATATACCCTATAATCCCCATATAACCCTATTAGAGTAGTTTCCATTTTCTTTTCCATTGTCCCCTATATAACCCCAATAATTATATACCCTATAATCCCCATATAACCCCATTATAGTAGTTTCCATTTTTCTTTTCCATTATCCCCTATATAACCCCAATATATACCTTATAATAGTAGTTCCCATTCTCTTTTCCATTATTCCTTGGCCAAAACAGCCCAGGAGCTGTCCAAAGCCGGATTCAGGAAGCCTGCCACTGCTGAGCTGCAGAGGGTCACGGGATAGGTGTGGAAGCTCCAGGTGTAGGGTTTAGGGTGTAGGGTTTAGGGACTAAACCCTACACCCCAAACCCCAAACCCCTAGGGTTCGGGCCTTGATTTTTGAAGTCTGGGGGTTCAGGGTCTGGGGGCTGTGGGCACGGCTCTTGGAGCAACCTGTGTGAGGGAAAGAGCGGCTCACCTGTAATTCTCCCGGTCGCCTTAGCCTCAGAATAATGCGCTTGTTCTGCACATTCTCTCCTGGCAGGTTACTAAACCCTAAACCCCTAAACCCTAAACCCTAGACGCTAAAGCCTAAATCCTTACAGAACCACGGCTTGCTGCCCCGGAGGGTGCTATGTAGAGTTGGAGAAATGCAAGGCAGGGATATATTTACCTCTAGGGGGTTTAGGGTTCAGGGTTTAGGGTTTAGGGGCATCTTCCCTTTTTCTCCGAGTTCTTGTGCAAGCTAACGACTACATTTGGGTGAGTCTATGGAGCACTGGCTGTCGATGAATGACCTCACAAACCAACAGTTGCCTGGGTTGCTTTTAAGGAACCTCAAGTAAGTTACCAAATAATGGGCCGTCCCTATTATGGCAACTTAATTTGAATTCCTCAACAGCAACCCAGCCTGTGGTTAAAAGAACTCCAGGTACATCCAGTCGAGGTCCATTAAAACTACCGCATTCCTCGTGCAGGTAGCAACACCACAAATTTTCAGGCCATCCATCAACACAAGGCCACGCCCAAATACTAAACCATAGAGCCTTACTCAGAGCCCCATGCAGCCTACTGGTAAACCCCCAACCCTACAGCCTCTGCGCAACCGTCGCGCCTGAACCTACTCATGAGTGCTCTTAGGCGACTGTGAACCGTATGTCGGTGCGGACAGACGAGATGGAGCCCACCAGGACGTGGACACAGAGCTTGCGTGGACGCGGACCCAGACACGACGAAAGGCTGAGATTCACACACAGCGTCTCTTGGTGACAAGTAGTAAGCACTATGTGGCAGGCTGGGCGTTGGCTGCTTATCGCGAATCGTCCTCTCGGAACCTCTGAGTACCTACAGCCCAAAATGCGGCCCGAATCACTAGCTAAGCCCCTACATCCCCAAAAGCTGGACACCATAAACCACTTACCATCACTATTAATATTGCTATTACTTCACTATTACTATTGCTATTACTATTGCTATTCATTAGAAGCCACCAGAAAACAGACTCCGAAACTTGTTGGTCGCCTCCAGGGGCCGCCGACGCCGGCCTTTCGAGGAACTTGTTGGCTGCTAGCAGGGTGTATATATTCTACTATATAGTATATTGGGGTTGTATTGGGATAATGGAAAACAAAATGGAAACTACTATATATAATAGGGTATACATTGCGGTTATATTGGGATAATGGGAAATAAAATGGAAACTCCTATAGTATATTGGGTGGTTTTATGAGGTTTTTGTTTCTGCAGGAAAACAAGCGGAAAGTACTTTTGGGCTTTTAGAAAAGCACATGAAGACTGATTGGGTGGCTTTAAAGTTTGGGGGTTCAATCGCTTCGAAGTGTCATCATCTGAACAGTGGGGACGTTTTGGCATGAAGCTGGGTTGCTGTTAAAGGACGTAATTTAAATTACGATATTGGCGAAACCCTATTAGTCAATAACTATATATATATACACCCATTAGTTATGGCAACGTAATTTAATTAAGTTCCTTAGCAGCACCCTAAACCCCAAACCCTAAACCGCGGGAGGATTGGAACTCAGGTTGAGCTTAGGGGTGTAACGGTCCAGCTGGGACTTTGGAATTTGGCTTACCGCACCTTCTCAAAGTTCTTCCTGAAAGTTTGTAGGCCTGAGGTTTGACTTAGTTGTCCAGTCCACAAGTTTAGGATTTAGGGCATGTTTAGGGTTTAGGGGCCCCAAAAAGTTTAAACTTTCTTTTCAAGGGTTTGATAGATCCAATCTTTTTAAAGTTTGGCTATTGGACTACTGAGTTGAAGTCTGGGAGCCTTCGGACATAGGATACAAGGCTCTGAGTCTGGGATCTTAGGCTTTGAGCGATGGATTAGCTTATTGGTTCTTAGCAGGAATATATTACATGTAGCGGCTATATAGGGATTATATTCCCTGGCTCCGTACTAAGAGTCAGGCAGATTCGGGCTATGTTAGGTGGGCCTGAGCAAGCCAATGTCATACTCCACCTGGGTGTTAGGGTTTAGGGTTTAGGGTTTAGAATATACAAAGTTTGCTAAACTCTAGACCCTAAATCCTGAACCCTAAATCCCATACCCTAAACCTTACAAGCCCTAAACAGTGGCAGCAAGGCTGGCCCAAGAAGCAGTTCAGCTGCACTACGAGATCTTAGCCGAACCAACTAGTGGGTTGTTCCCAAAATTAGGGTCCCTTTTAGGGTTTAGGGTGGAGGGTTTAGGGCCCTCCTTCTTACTAGCGTTTAGCAAGGAAAAAAGCTATATTATGATCCCCAAAAGTACGGTCCCATTTTGGTACCCCTGAATGTTAGGTGCTGTAATACAGTTTATAACCAAAGGAGCCTATAATTGTGAGAACAGCCCAACTAGTATAATCTGTTGGCTTATCTAGATTGTGGGGCTCGCAAGAAGTGATTTTGGTAGGGCCCTGGTAGGGGCGCGGTTACAAGCGGGTGGAGAACGTGCAAGTCAGCCAGTGGGGGCGCACAAGTGAGCGGGGGCAAGTGCGAGAGGCTTACGAGTGAGCAGGACGGCACTCTTAGCACTCTTTAGTGTCCGTGTGAGCGAGTGAGGGCGTATCAGCAGCGTACGAGTAAGCGAGCGAGCGTGTGCCAGCGTACGAGTGAGCAAGTTGAGTGCTCGAGTGGAAACGCGTCAGGGATTTTGGGGGGCATGCGAGTGAGCCAAATCCGAATGAGCAAGTGAGCGGGCGGGTGCGCACGAGTGAGTGACTGGCGGCGAGTGGCAGCGAGCGAGTGAGCCAGCCGGGGCGTGCGAATGAGCGAGTGGGAACGTTCGAGTGAGCGAGTTCGAGGGAGGGTGTCAGAGAGCGGGTACATGTTCAGACACGTTCTTGGTTTGGATATATCTGACACATTCGCGAAGCCAAGAAACAGAAGGGGTTTAGGTTCTCAAAGGGGTTCAAGTTTAGAATTTCTGCTTTGCAAGGTAATCGGTTACACCATTATTAAGTACTACATGGCGTAATAACGCTCATGACCATGAATGCGTTTTCAACCCTTCGTGGCTCATAGTCATCTGAAGGTAGCAGTCAGTTCAAATTGCACACGAAATATCATCTATTGCTATTGCTGTAATGCCTGTGTCAGAATGAGCTTCAGATACCTGAATGCGCTTCGAACGCTCACAGGTTGATGACCCGTCATCAGAACTATTCATGTGATAGCCCGGCGATAAGTTCACAAGTCATAAGCAAAAATACTATAAACGAATCAGTAATCGCGAGCATTTAGAACCACAAGCAGACATTTGCGGAATCAGTTGGTACACGCTCGACTTACTCAACAGTTTTTGCGGATGACCTACAGAATTCGGATCTTCTCCACAAATTCGCTTCCACTCCAAACCGGAACAGACATTTCCTTTGAAAATTCTGGCCTATGTATGACATAATAAGTAGAATTTAGAAGCTCCGTAGTGCCCACATTTTGCAGATTCTCACAAAAATGTAGCCTGTAGCTCCTATCTTGTAACTTAAGCTAAAGTCCGTATTGACGTCTGAGGCGTAAAGTTCGAGCTTCAACTTTCTCCGTACAGCTTGTATCCCAGAAAATGACTACTTAGGACTTCTGCTTGCTACTTATGCTTCTTGGTGTCATCCCAAGAGTAGATATCTAGGATAAGTTGGACCCTATACACGATTGAGTTGTCATCTATCACTTCACTTATGGCTTGTGGCGAGTAACTTTGAATCTAGGCTGGGTTGTTGTTGAGGAACTCAATTTAAGTTACCATGCTGGGGAAACCATATGAACTACTATGTATACCCACGATGGTAACGTAATTTAAAATCCTTAGCAGCAACCCAGTAGAGCCTAGACTACCCCGTATATGACATTGTCCTCACCTTACCGGTTGCCAGTAGGGAATGAGGGATTATGATCTCTACAACATCCCCATATAATATATTCCCTTCTTCCCCTACTACCTACCAGTAAGCCGCAGTTGTGGCGGAAAGTCACTTAGGAAAAACTTAGCCCTCAGAAAGGGATGCCATGTAATTGTAATGGCCTTGCTTTTGGCAAAGGAAGGACCACCCTTCATGCGATAAAGTTCACGCACACGGGTACTACAAGGATGGCCAAGCTGGATTCCGGGCTTAGTGTATGACGGGATGGCTATGGGTTCCATTGTAGGAAGGGCAGGGAGAGGAGTGCTCCTGGATATATAACCCCAATTTCCATTTCATTCTCCATGTTCTTTTCCATTTGATTCTCCATTATAACACCCATAATAGTCCCCTATAACCCCTATATGGCCCCTATAACCCCACCAGTTTCCATTTCATTTTCCATGTTCTTTTCCATTTGATTCTCCATTATAGTAGTTTCCATTTTCTTTTCCATCATCCCCTAACCCCTATATAACCCCAATATATACCCTATTATACTATAGTAGTTTCCATTTTCTTTTCCATTATCATTTTCAAGGAGCCTTGAAAGCCTCGCAGCCTAACCCAGACCCTGTCAAAGGAACTTCGATTCTGCGTCTTTGACCTTAATCTAAGGTATATATTGGGGTTATAATACTATGGGGATTATAGGGTATATATATATATTGGGGCTATAAATAGTAAAGGGGATTATGGTGTATATATTGGGGTAAATAAACCCAGCCAGGGTAAACTCATCTTTCGGAGGTACGACTGAAACCGTGAAGGCAGGTACCGAAGAACCCCACCCGGACTCCTGAACAACAAACAACGAACAACCGCAGCTAGCCTGCAGCGAGACAAGCTGGAATGTTTCTGGCATAGCCCGCTGGTATGCTTGCAACGGGTCTGAATGATCTGACGGGCTGGTTCAGAGTAGGGCTAAGCGTGTAGAGGGCTTGTTCTGAGGGTTGTATACCGCACTTACCAGAGGAACCCATGACAAAGTACTAGACTTGCCGCCAATTGAGTCATAGAGGGCTGCCAAGTGGCTCAGGCTGTAGACGCTGGGGCTTGATGGGCTTCAGGATCAACCTAACCTCACCTATATAACCCCAATGTCCATTTCATTTTCCATTTTCTTTTCCATTTGATTCTCCATTATAACACCTATAATAGTCCCCTATAACCCCTATATGACCCCTATAATCCTTTTTGTGGGCTCGGGCTTTCTCTAAAAGCACAAAGCATTGCGCACGGCTTCTGGCTCTAAATCTTATTCTTACCTAGAAGGTAGCTTGCACAAATGAAGGGCCGGCAAAGGCATTTCCAAAATGGAGGGGTTTCTCATCGGATTTAGCAAGCGCCAAACGGTGTTCCTCGTCATCATGCTGCTGGCGGGTATTGGCCTACATGGTGAAGCTTGAGAAGAGCGGAAAGCAATGTTGAAGCCCTAAACCCAAAACCCACACCACGGTTTCGACTCTGGGCTTGGGCGTTGGGTTGGGTCCTTCATTTTGGGTTTCCACATCTTGGGATGTGTCTGGGGGAATTCATAAACCCCTAAACCCTGAACCCATGAAGCAAGTGCAGGACTCTGAGGTGCTGGGTCCCAGAAAGTCTCGCCCGTATGCAGGTCCCCAAGGGAACTATATGGCAAAAGCTTCTGTGTAGTGGGTTCGGGTGTGGAGGACGCTCCCACCCAACCCGTCTGCATGCTTGTGGAAAGCAAAGAAAAATGCCCAACCGTCCCGCAATACACTGAACCATGTGAAACTGTAGCCTGGGTTGCTGTAAACATGCACAAGTGACTGATGTTGTGGGTTCTGGGAGACCCCCACACCCTCAAATCTAAGGGAGTTTCTTGAAAAATCAGCGTGCTCTTAGAGGCCTTTGAGGCATGTGCAACTGTTATACGGTTACAGCGGTATGTCTTCAAGATTACATAAGGATCATTTGACACACTCCGAGAACATGCTTATATGTGAACAGATGATCATAGCTGTTATGTAAAGATAAAATGGAGAAACGATCATTAAGAGTAGTAGCAAAACTTGTACGATCCCTTTATTCCTCCTAGCATCCCAAGGGGAGGCTATAGGGTTCAGGAATACATGGTTTAGGGTACGGTATAGCCCTTGTACCCCACACCCTGTGCGCTAAAA